ATCTCAAATTTGACTTTTTTCTCAGAATTTGACTTTTTTTCTAAGAACAAGTTTTTTTCTCAGAATTTGACTTATTTTCTTCAAAATATTCATTTTTTCTTAGAATTTGCCTTTTTCTCAGAAATAGATTTTTTTTAAATCATTTTTGTGACATTCTCAGTGAAGAGACTTGGAATGATTTGCCCTAGACTTCTGCTTTCAGACGTAGTTAATTATGAAGTCATTACCCTATCCGATAATAATCCAATGCAGAGACAATAATGTCATATAATACATTATTTTATATATATTAAATATTTATATATGTATTTTGATATATAGTCTTAAAGTTACAACCGGCCCTTTGAGTGCAACCATAATGCTGATGTGGCCCACGAAGAAATTGAGTTTGACACCCCTGGTCCAAAGGAAGGCTTTTGTTGGGCTGCATGATATTTCCAGATCTGCCCAGCAGCAATAGTCATACACTGCCATCTTCTGGCCGAGTCTTAAACAGAGTCTGTAAACCACTAGTAGCAGTTTCACACACATTGGACAACACATTTGGCATTACACACACCATGCTTGAGTTTGTTTGCGACCCTTTAATTTAATTAAACATGAGAAATTAAGGAAACTTGCATAAATATTGTTTAATTTCTAAAAATTCAACCATCATTTATCCAAAAAAAGGTGTATGACCTAAAAAGTTATTCTGATACTTTTTGACATAAATTACAATGACTTTTTTTCCACATACTATGACTTTTCTTTGACATACTATATTTTGATTTGATCATTCAACAATAATTATACTATAACATTTATCAACATCCACATTATTATTATTAATATGAAGACTTTTTTTTTTTTTGTTGAATACAGATATTACCATGAATGTGGATGGATACTATATTTTAACAATGCGGTATTCTGTTTTTCACATTTTGTTATTTTTTATTTGTTATTTTTTAATCTATTCGAAATAAAGAATAAAGAAAGAAGAAAAACAATAAGGGTTAGGGGGGTAAGCAAGAGAGGAAAAGATAAGGATGACAAGATCATTTAAACAGTGGCATGTCATCAATGATAAATGTACATCTTTCAAATGACACAACATCTAAAACAGCCAAAGAATATCCTTTGTCCCATGATTTCTCTGTTAAATGGTAAATATATATTATTATTTCCTTTATTTAAGTATATTTCTCAAGAAATAGACAGTATTTAAATAGCACTTTAACGCCCATCAAAGTGCTTTTACAGATACAAGTCAGCATTCACAAAGACATGGAGGCAGTAATACAAGGTGCCATCTACTCACACAAAGTCACACATGCCGTGTCATTGGATCAACTTGTCGTTAAGTATCTTTCCCAAGAATACACTGACATGTTGTGGTATAAAACCAAGGGCCTTCGTATTGTTAGAAAACCTCATTATCTCAGAGTCAGTCTCCAATCCAAATCACCCAGTCTTTAACACAGGCCTAAGGATGGCAGTCGCTGGTTGCCATCATTCAGGAGTGGCCATTGCCTTCACGATGCATGCATCTGACACTCCAGCACTCTTACATTTTCTGATACAATGACATGCTATATTATGAGATATTTGAGGAATACTTAATACCAACTTTACTTTGACTTTTAAATACTTTTTGTTACTATTCCATGTCATTTTTTATATATATTGTTTTACATACATACTTTATCTTGTATAGTATTTTATGATATACTTTATGATTTACTATGACATAATTGTTCTTCACGATGGAGCTCTCGTTGATAGGGCTTTTGTCAATGGAGCTCTCGGCGATGGAGCAGTTGGTGATGGAGCTGCCGCACTCCCATCATGGAGCTTTCTTCGATGGAGCTCTCGATGATAAAGCTCTCGTAGAATGAGCTCCCAGCGATGGAGCTCTCAGCGATTGAGCTTCCAAACTCTCAGCAATGGAGGTTGCACTCTTTGCCGATGGACTTCTCGGCTATGGAGCTCTTGGCATGGAGCTGTCGCGCTCTCACTCTAGTATCTGAAAATCGTCAGAAAAAGTCAAAAAGTCAGCCAGGAAGGCCACACTGTAATTCAAGCACTGAATATAATGACGAACATAAAAGAAAAGATAATGAAATAAACGGTATCATTCATTAAGTGATTCTTTAGTGGGATAGGAGTTAATAAGCTAAACACTATGTGCTAGTAAGAGAAGGCTATATTTCATAGATATAAATAAATATGTTGCAAAATGTAATTGTTCTGCCACTGAATCAGGTTCCTGGTTTGAATATTACTATGTCCTGAGTCGTGGATCCTGAGTCGTGGCTGTTTCTGTCGCCGTGGTCCTGCCTGATGCTCACCTTACAATTCTTTGATGGCACCCAGAGGATTGTTGACATCCACCTGCATCCATGTTCATCTTTTTCTAGATGACCTATGCATTTTTCAAGCATTTGAACTACCTATGTTGTAAATGTATTATCCTGTGAATTTACACACAACATCTATTGCATGTCTGTCTGTCCTGGGAGAGGGATAAGGGTCTAAGGACAGAGTGTGTTGCATTTGTGTTCATATTCTGTACAAACTGTAACGTCCCCTTAGACAAATGTAAAAGTTATGATATTGTGCTATATAAATACACATTGATTGATTGATTGATTGATTGATTGATTGATTGATTGATTGATTGATTGATTGATACTGCACTGCTCAATGTAAGGTAAGACAAGAACAGAGGAAAGCCTTTCGCTACTGTATATATATCACCGTTTCAGATAAACATTTTATTTGACAAATTCTGCTGGAAACACCAATATTCAGATGGTCGACACACTCAATAAATATGGGTATGATGAAAAGGGCATTATTTACTGTAATTGGAAACTTTTATGTGTAATTTCAGCATTTTCAAATACTTTGAAGCTTATTTCGTTTGTAATTCATTAATGCACTAAATATGTTGGAGCTACGTCAAATGACAATTGATTAAATAAGTTAGCATGCAAAGAAACTCACATTAAAGCACCGCCCTATTCTCAGGAGCTTAACCTTTAATTCACTATTCTGGGGAAGTGGGCATATTTAATTTAACACATGACAACTCTATAGTTTATATGTTGGCTATGTGCCATATGGGTGCAATTAAGTAATATTCTTATCAGGCTCCAGGAAAGGCTTGTTGGGGAAAGTTGACGTGCCAATGATGACCTCGATCACATCTCATGATGCATTTTAGACTAATGGCTAAGCTCATGTCCTCAGCTGACTTACTTGTGATTTAACTTGAAATCTAAATACATAAATCTCCCCTTTCTAATTATAATTCTAGTTCTCTGCCACTTTCAGTAAATTACATTTTACTTCTGGATATTAAATTGTACATCCACCTTGGACAATAAATACCTCCCCCTTTGCTCTATAAACTGATGTACAGCAAAATGTATACCTTCCACACATTTAGTAACAGCAGAAATTAAGTTATGATATATTATAACTAATACTTGATACTCAGCGTGGGTTTTGTGTCAGGTGGTGAGAGCGAAAAATGAGGGCATGTGTGCATACAGTATGAATGGCTTAGAATTAGTGCACGTTTACATGAAAAGTAATATTATGTTAAAATGTGTGTTTGTTTACAAGTGCAAATGGCCACAGGCGAAGTTATGTAATTCAAGAAAGTAATTGTTTGAATTGTTATACCCATTTACTCAAAACTATATGTACACTCTTTATAAGTTTATGATAGACGATTGAACGTCCAACAGCAGAATGTAGTTAATTACATTTATTAGGGCACTATACTATGAACAATCTTCAGGTAATTGGACTTGAGCATTTGCATTTTCTCCAACTTTAACTAAGTTTGGCTGCTAGAAAAATCTACTTTGTACAAAACATAAAATCAGTTTGTACAATTGAATGTTTTGTTGTAAATCAAACTACCCAGAAGCATATACAATATTTAGATTTAACTCTGAATCCGAACATCACTTCTTGCAAAATTATAAATTAGCAATGCTTATCCAATTATTTGATAGACTGTAAATGATTACATTATTGTGTCAGGGTCATTCAGATGCATAATAAGTAATTCATGTTTGATATACTGAATGCAATTTAACAGCAACACTTTTGTCAAAACAATCTTATTGCTTAATTCGTTTTATTTTTAAGAAAAAAACAAGGTTGACCTTTATACTATCAATAGTGTTTGCTGATTATATTTGTTCCTGGGAGGTTAAAACTAAAACTAAGGAAAAGGAGCCTTGCAAACACACAGTTGTTTGAATATGTGCCAGTTGGCGTTGATATTCAATTGTATGCCAATTGCAACTAACTGCAAAAGCCAAAAAAATGTCATCAATTATTTCTGACATAGTAAGGGCCACTCTCCAAAAAGTAGGACATATATGGTTATCTTGGTTACTGAGTACTTACATAACACATGCACATACACACTCTTTAACTTAAGTGAGGATCAAATGACAGTGGTTGAAAACAGGTCAAACTTTGAATTCTATAGGCGATGTCCGAATATCTAAAATACATCTCAAGAAAGCCATGCCCTAACAGGGTGTTACTGGAACATAGCCTACAGTAAGGCTACATTCTCTCATCTGTGGAGCAGGAGGGCAGGAAACAGGACATGGGAACCAAGCAAAAACCAGCAGGAGGCCACCCCATGTGTTTTCACATACAGTATGAGAGAAAGACCATTATTGATACAGGTGTATTTTATGGTGGTTATATTATAGTGATCACAGCAATACAAAAAAAAGCAGTTGGAAGCGTTTACAACAAAACAGCACATAGAAAGATAAGCTCCTTTATAGCTCCTTATACCCTACCGCAATAGATAAATATAAGCCTAAAAGAACATACTGTTTCATAAAAAATTTGCTATAGTGTGAAGGCACTACCAAGGACAAATCCAAGTTTTCTATTGGTCCGACCAATTTCTGGGCCGACAAGGGTGGGGCTAAACAAGTGCTTAACCAAAACAACTTTCGTGCGTGCTCCGACAAGAGAGAGAGAGAGTTGCAAGCCGGGTCGAAGTCAGAACGTCTGAAGAAGAAAGCGAATGGAACGATACACGGGGAAATAAGCTGACAACAGAGACACCGCCGGGTCGTCAGGTGAGGAGAGGCCAAAAGTGTTTACTGAACTTTTTAAGCATCGACACCCGCAAAGTTGCACGTCAATTGTGGACAAGCCCAAACTCGAAGTCATTGGGTTTGAGTCCAGCTGACTTTATTGTTAGCTGTAAAAACGTTGTGTTTTCCCCTGTGTTCTTGGTTTACTGGCGTCCACAAAATGACCTTGCAACACTTTAGCTCAAGGCGAGACATTGTAACACCCATAGGATGCGACTACATCAGTAGGAAAAACAAAGATCCCAAACCATTACCATTATACCAAAGAAGGGCAACACAAAAACAAACTTAAGTGTGAATTGTAGTTACTTTTCCCTCCGCGTCTGAGAAAAAGCTACCACCGTTAAAACTGTTGGATTACGTCCGTTACGAAACTAACTAACAAAGTTTAAGATGGAAACATTTAAAGTTAACTTCGACCTCCGGGGTGGAGCAATATTCTCTCCACGCCAAGCAACAGCCTAGTGCACAACCTCTCAGACTCAGCCTAGTACAAGTAACCTCGTAAGCCATTCTACTGATGCTGGACAGTTTTTCAGTGGGTGCACAATAAACGGCAACTACTGTAAATAAATAGCCAAATAATGGATCAACGCTGTCTGTCTAATATGTTCGCTAGCTCTTTGTGTTGTTGCATAGAAACTCGCACTATGTTTTGTGCAGAAGGCAACGGAGGGACTATTTTATTTTTAACATCATTATTTACTAATAAAAACTATTTGAATTGGAGTGTGTATTTTTCTTTCATATTGCCATAATTGGTAAGTATATAGCACACAACAAAAGAATAGTTAAAATATAAAAATTGCTAAAAACAAACAATTGTTATGCCATTCTTAAAGAATAATTTCTGTGACGTTTTTGAATGTTTCTTTGTCTGTATCTGCTTTACCTAGGCCTAATGTTAGAGGTTAATGATGGACCCCAAAAGTGAGACTAAGAAGATGACCTCCCTCCTCCCAGGCGACCCCTCGCCTGAGGCGCAGGAACAGACCCCTCCCAAAGGCCCAGGTACGCACAAATGGCAATTACACTTTATGAAGATAGAAAAACGATTGTTTGTTATGTGAATGTTGGTCAAGGAGTGTCAATGTGTGTTTAGAGGCTAATTTGGAATTGTTTATGGTGTACCTTCAACACCATGTCCAAAAGGGCTCCTCCCTACAGCTTGCACTAGTTCTATACCACTTTATTATAATACCACATTTGGTTACAACAGAAAGCAATATTTGTTAAATGTTAACTATGTGCCTCTTCCAAGAAGAAGTTTAGTTGAATTTTCTAGATAACTTTCAAAGTAACCATCCCCTTTTAGTTACCCTCAAAGTTATCTGGTGAACAACAGATTAATATAAAATATATTTATTGGCACTTTTAACATCTTCCCGGTAGCTTTTAAAAACTGATTAACGAAGACACCAAAAGTAATTTATGACTTTTATTATGCCCAGGCCACTCTAACCTTGGTTGCTTAAACCCTAAACTCAGTTCATTCAGTAAATGACCCACTTCTTTATTCTTCCTGGAGAGCGATGCTGCACCGTGCTGCGCTTAGAAGTTGAGAATACATACTTCTCTATGGATAATAGAGTGAAACACAGGTCTTTGGAAGACAAAAATAAATTCACATTTCTGCATTAAATAGGTGTAAAATATGTTAAAATGTATTGCGACGCATTACAACAAGCCAGTTATTCTTATCGGAGGTGAAAAGGTACTTTAGGTTTGGCTCAGCCACAGTTGTTTTGTGGCTAAAGACAGGTTCAAATATAGCAAAACAAGTTCATTACTAAAGTAGTATTCTATTTAAATTCATTTATATTGCTCTTATTTAAAAATGTCCAGGAAGTGTAATAGGAATTTGACAACAAGTGCTTACAGCCATAAGACTCATTACAGGAGAGAACAGTCTAACATATTACATATTGTAATCCCATTATGATATAAAGTCTGTTATAGAACAGGATTGACAGATGGTATGCAGTGCAACAGTCGGAGCATAAAACTTGTAGATCCTGCAGTTTGCAGCTGCGTCTCTGTTGTTCTTGCATGTTGCACCATGGGAATTATATTAGATTAAAAAGAAAAAGGCCTGACTGGCATGATTATTAGGAAGGTTAAATACCTTGGCATTAAAGTCTTCAGCCTACTATAAAAGCAGATCTTTCAGATTTAAACCACACTAATACTTAAGGTGCAGTCTCCTTAGATAAAAGCTGTTAAAGGGTCAATTCATGTCTTCAGAAATAATGATAGAACTGTATGACTGTTCCCTATAAATATACAAAAAAGGGTCATTACTGTTTTTAGCTCACAAGTTTAAAGGTGCATAGGTCAATTGGATATATATCTATATGCTGAGCTGATCAGTTTTGATTCTTCCAGAACTTTCCTATCTCTCTTTTGATAACAAATGTGTGACAGCTCAGAGTGGTACGTGCAAGACAGCGCAGATAGGCCTTAACCCCTCACTCACACACACACACACACACACACACACACACACACACACACACACACACACACACACACTCACACTCACACTCACACTCACACTCACACACACCCACACCCAATGACTTGCAAGACTGCTTCAGCATTTTTCTGAACCTCTGACCCCCTGTTCCACACTATCAGAGCTTGCAAGTTGTCTTGATGGTTGGGGGAATCCTACAAGAAGAAAAGCTGTGACAACGCCTATAGTTATGGCATACATATTAATATTACAAACACTAGTATGTGTTTTATTTTTCTGCCCCCTTACATCATGATGTTAAGTACATACAGTCACTAGTGATATATTGTATTCTTACTTTATGTAATTTCTTAAAAGTATACTGGAGGCAAATATGTATTCACCAGCGACGTGCAGTCAGGGGAGGCAGGGGAGGCAGAGCCTCACCTGTCATACTCCAATGTAACGGAAAAACAACTAAAGAAAAACTAAATAGTAATAATAATAAAATGTCTCCACTGATCTATGATGTAAGTGTGATTAATGTATGATTCCAATCGCTTTTTAAAGTCAAAATCTGCAAATTTGCCGAGCTCCGCTACAACTACTTGTAGCGATGAGAAGTGAGGCAGGGACGAGCTCTGCCTCTCGTAAGCCCACAGTAACTTGCTGGAGCGCGGGCACTAATTTAGCGCGGGCACTTATTTTGTGAGCGCGCTCAAGCCAGTTACTGTGGGGTAAGGTAAGGCACAGATGAGCTCTGCCTCACCTCAGAATGTGTCACCCCCACGGTCACCCACAGAAACTAGCTGGAAAGCGGGCCCTAAGCGCATGCCTGTTACCATCTCACTGTATGTCACCAATGTAATGTTTGTAGATCCCTTTATTAAATGTATCCTCGACATCCATAGTCTCTAAATAACTTATTTAACGTATATATGATATTTAGGCTCGCTGGTCTCATCATATAACGGCAATGAAAAAAGCAGCAGGAGAGGCAGCCATAACCTCTGCCGCACTGAAGGGGGCGCACGTGAGCCCACAGGTTCTTGTTGCTACTGTTATTCTACGCAGAGACGGTAGACACAAACAACAAACTAGACTTTTGAAACTACAGGAAGATAAGGAGGACTTTTACAAAAAACGAATAGAGATTGTTGTCCAGAAGGAGAGCATGGACTTAATCTTCAAGTCAAGGTAAGACGACAATTGTAATGAAAATGGGATCTTACTAAGAAAGAACAATCCAATATTTAGATTTTGGGTATCCTTTTGTTGAACGGTCTGTTTAAAATGAATCGAAGCATCAGACTAAAAAAGCTTTTGAAAATAACCGAATATTTTGATTAAGGTCAAAATATAATATTTGTAAACTTGTAGACTCTGAAAGAGTCAGTGCCTCACCAGCCATGAAGCTCACCGCACGTCACTGGTATTCACTTGATTTACAAACGACAAGGCAGACAAATTATCCAGATATTTGTCTGTGGTGTGTCAATATGCTTTAGGGTTATTTTTCTTTGGCAAAATGCCAACATCCACCCTGAGCCTATACAGCCTATACAGTCCTGCATCCTATACAACCTTAGGATGAAATCAGCTGATAGCTCAGAACAGGTTATGGGTCCAAAAGCTGCCGAGGAATGGGAGAGCACTTAATGAATGCATATTACCTGGGGCAGTGTACCTGTTTAGGCCACATCTAATGTACCTAAAGGTGTGCACATTCAATATATAATTTCCTTGTATTACTACGACAACAGAGTTTAACGTTTGGCAATAATTCACATTAATAATGTTATGGCGATATTAATTGAAGATGTGTGTTGTGCTTTCAGTCAAGGTAATCTTGTCTATTTTGGGTTTTGTCTCCTTTTTGTAAAATAATTACACTCAAAATAGGAGTGTGGGCAGGAGGATATAGACACTTTAAACCAGTGGTTCTCAACTGGTGGGTCGCAGATATAAGTTGTTTTTTTTTGGGAAATAAGTCCAACTTTTCTTTTGAAGGCCCGATTTTCTAACGCTGTGCAGGCGTTGGACTGGAAGTACCGGAGACCATAAACGTTTTTCTTCTGTCACGGTTAACGTCAACACTGAATATCCCTACATGGGATCTTCTCTTATTTTATCTTACAGTATATTGCAAAGCCCCTATTACAAAGTAATGTCTTCTTTGAACCAGCTAACTTGTTTGTATCTCTTTTTGGAAAAAGCAGCAACATCTGTGAGATCTCAAGGATGCACATTGAGACCTTGTTGGGAAGCTATTGTATTTCCTCTCACTCTCTCTCTGTGTTTCTGTCTTCTCTCCAGGCTGCAGCTGGCTGGTGGTGGTAGCGGCTCTGGCGGCCTCTCTGAGCGGCCTGATGCTGGGGTATGAAATGGGGCTGACCTCGGGGGTCCTGCTTCAGCTGCGGGAACTCCTCTCCCTCTCCTGCAGGGAACAGGAACTGCTGGTCAGCTCCCACCTACTCGGTGCTCTGCTCATGTGCCTGGCTGGAGGTCCTCTTCTGGACCGCTACGGCCGCCGCTTCTCTTTACTCCTGAGCGCTGCCCTGGTGGTCGGAGGGACTGTCATGCTCATCGCGGTCAACACACTGGTTTTCTTCACCCTGGGCCGGATGATAGTCGGCATGGGTACAGCTCTGTCTGGGACAGGAGCGTGCCTGTACATCGCAGAGATCTCACCGATGGAGAGGAGGGGTCTGCTGGTCACGCTGTACGAACTGATGCTGGTTGTGGGTGTAATGCTGGGATTTGGCTGTAGCTACGTCTTCTCTACTGTGCCGCATGGCTCGGCGTATACATTTGGACTAGTAATCCCCCCCGCGCTGCTGCAGATCAGTATCCTTGTGTTCCTCCCAGCCAGCCCACGCTTCCTGGTCATCCGAGGTAAAGTGGAGCAGGCCAGGATGGTGCTGGCCCGAATGAGAGGTGGGGTCAAGGAGCATGTGGAAATGGAGCTCAGAGACATTCAGGCAGGACTTAAAGAGGAATCAGAGCACAGTTTCTGGGAGCTGTTCAGTAGCAAAGCTAACCTGCGCTCACGGCTTCTAACTGGCGTGGCTTTAGTCTTCCTTCAGCAGGCTACAGGTCAACCCAACATCCTGTCCTACGCCTCACCGCTCCTCCGCAGCATGGGCTTCAACAGCGACGCCGCAGCGACCTTGGCCTCCACAGGGTTCGGAGTGGTCAAAGTAGTTGGCACTATCCCAGCGGTGTTGCTGGTCGACCGTGTGGGAACCAAGAACTTTTTGTGCGTTGGTGCGGTCGGAATGGGAGTGTCGCTACTGGCCCTTGGCACATTGACACTGCAAAGCCACACCCATCTCACCAGCCTTTGTAAAAGTCACACCATACCAAACCACACACATACGCCATGGAATTTAAATGGATCCTTTATAGACTTTGGCAACAGTGACATTTTAGCTACTGGCCTCCCCAGCCAATGGGATAGTGAGGAGGCACAGTGGACTAAAAGAGAGGATGATGGGAATAGGGAGTCAGGAAGGACTCCTGTGGAAGTGTCCTCCTTTATGAAGTGGGCCTCATTGATCAGCTTGCTGGTGTTCGTGGCAGCCTTCTCCATTAGCCTGGGGCCAAGTAAGCACCAGTTTTTTATTTACCCACTCCTTGAGCGCACCAAAAGCTGTAGCATCATTCCAAACTTGTAATACTTGTTGTTAACCAATAGGAGAGTGCAAAGAAGTGCATTTTTATCTGCAATAAAATACTGCAGCTAAGATCCATATGAACTGACGCACACAGTTCAGAGAATGGCAGCAGCTTATAACACGTTGTACGGTTAAGTACAACATTTAGTTATTTGTATTATTGCGTTGTTAACCATGGTCTCTTGCGTATTGTTTTCTTTCCCTTCCAGTGGTGTATGTGGTTCTCAGTGAGATCTTTCCGATGGGAGTACGAGGTAGAGCTGTGTCTGTTGTGTCGGCTGTGAACTGGGCCACTAACCTGCTCATCTCCATGACCTTCCTCACATTTACAGGTGTGTGTGTGTGTGTGTGTGTGTGTGTGTCACATTTGCTGTAAATATATTTGATATTACAGCTGACCATTTTTCTGAAACATAGTTGAATGAAAACACTTATTTTGAGGTAAAACAGAAAAGCCTGTACTGAATGATTAATGGCTGCCCTTTTTATAAATCAATTTGAAAAAGGATGTCAGCATACAGTTCCTACGTCACTTTAAAACTGCCTGTCACCATACGAAAGCACTTCCGTTACATCATCTACCAGAAAATTGTCTTTAAATAATCTTTAATTTAACATTGAAAGACGACAAACCCTGACCCAAGCAAAATACCTCATAGATTAAAATATTTTAAATATGATGTGCCTTGGAAAGTGGTTGGTAGTAATGTACAGTATGCAGTAAAAGGGTTTAAAATAATAATTTAAGCAATGGGAAAATCAAGCAAGCAGTGACATGTATTGGTTAACTGTAGGTACTGGATTGGCTGTCTTTTGGACGTGTTTCTATAAAGATATTTAATGTGTGGAGCGAAAATGAAACACTAGTTGTTATTATTAGAACTTGGTGCCATTGGCATGAGTTGTTAGAATGAAATATACTCATAGTAGTTTTATATATATGGTATATATTGGTTAGCAGACAGTCCTGTAGATTTGTAAATTGACCGGCACATCGTTGGTTTGGTTCTCTACCTCCTTCAAATTGATTCTTATCCGAATTTGGCTCTTGTTGTGATATAATTCAGATTTTCCATGAAGTGAATCTACTGTACGAAGTATTGGAACATGTCTTGCTTTGGTGCCCCTTGTGGTACGATCAGAGATGACAGGGAGATGCACAGTTACTCATAACAAACGCATGTAAAGAGAATCTGCAGAGATGAATCCAAATGTGTTCTGTGTGCTTCGGGGTCATTTCCCCATTTGTGGCCTGTTGGAAGATGTTCACCTACTTCCTCTTCACATTATGTCAAAGGAGTAATCTTCAGGCTTATAAAACCTTCAGTGTGTGTTGAGTAACCTCTATAAGTGCAGTTACAGTGTTTTCGCACGAGAATAATCGTCACTTCACTTTTTGTCTGTATTTCCTGTAGCCACACACACTTTGACCAAAGCATTTGTTTAAAAATATCACTGTATGCATTGTCACTCATGTGCTGTACTGCCCTTATGGGTTTTAGTTAGATTCCATCTAAAATATATGTCTTGGGCACAAAGAGTTGGTGTGTGTTTCCTGGAGTGTTACCAAGTAGTATGGGTGTGATGCGTCCTTCCCCATCCCATCTGTTTGTGTGCTTTGTGGTCGTCTTTTGCCAATCTGCATTCAGACTAGGGCTGCACGATTTGGGGAAATAATCTAAGTGCGATTTTTCTGACAGATATTGCGATTCGATTTGCGATATTTGTTTTTAAGCGACCCAACGGAAGTTTATTGTAAAATGCGGACATATCTCCGGCTAGGAAGGTCGCATCAACATGCTCCCGTCTCTAGCACCCCCGCAGCCCGAGCTACGAGTGAAATAACTAAACTTACAAGAATCTTCCGTTGGGTTGCTTTAAAGTCAAGCTTCAGTTTAAGATTCACCCTGTAATAGATGTAACACATGTGATGGAGCATTGCTAACCTGACTCAGATGGTTTGTTTCACCAAACCATCAGGGAAAGCTCCATTGGAAGCCATTTGGAAAGGGCAGGCACTTTGAAAAATACTTGGCAGGTGATTGGATCAATCTGTCTATCACTTTCTATCATGGGCCACTTCTGATTGGTTAACAATGGCTGGTACATGTGGAGCACAGCACTTCTGATTGGTGTGGATGACTGACACACAAGAAGAAAAGAAAAATAAGTTTTCAAAAAAATCGCATGCTTTGCAATTTGATAATCGCATCATGTTGAATCGTGATTTCGATTTAAAATCGATTAATCGTTCAGCCCTAATTCAGACCCACCCCAAACTCCCATCTCCATCATTTGAGGATGACATTTCAGTGTTATAGTGATGATATGAAAGACACAAACGTCTAATGTCTTGTCTTAATCCCCGGTGTAAACTAGACTGCTTTTCAGTAAAAAAGAAATAGACTCTCTAAGACATTAAATTTAGTCCTAAGAAACTAAAGACTAAAGAGGCAAAAAAACGCATTGTTTGTTTTTTTATAGTCAAAACCAGTCTGTACACCGGGGATTAGGAGAAAGACATCGTCTTTATGTACCACGGGTCACGGTTCAATTTTGTTCCAGGCTGGGGGGGGGGGTGGTGGATGACCTCTTTAATCAGAGATCCGCACACCGGGCAAAAGAGA